CAAGGAGAGACAAGAGGGCCTTCTTAAATGAACAGTGTAAAGAAATGGAGGAAAATAATAGAAAGGAAAAAACCAGAGATCTGTTCAAGAAAATTGGAGATATTAAAGGAACCTTTTGTGCAAAGATGGACATGATAAAGGACAAAAATATTAGGGACCTCACAGAAGCAGAAAACATCAAGAAGAGGTGGCAAGAATGCACAGAGGAATTATATCAGAAAGATTTGGATATCCCGGACAACCCAGACAATGTAGTTGCTGACCTTGAGACAGACATCCTGGAGAGCGAAATCAAGTAGGCGTTAGAAAGCCTGGCTAACAACAAGGCCAGTGGAGGTGATGGCATTCCAGGCGAACTATTAAAAATCTTAAAAGATGACACTGTTAAGGTGCTACACTCAATATGGCAGCAAGTTTGGAAAACTCAGCAGTGGCCAGAGGACTGGAAAAGATCAATCTACATACCAATCCCAAAGAAGGGCAGTGCCAAAGAATGCTCCAACTACCGTACAATTGCACTCATTTCACATGCTAGCAAGGTTATGCTGAAAATCCTACAAGGTAGGCTTCAGCAGTATGTGGACCGAGAAAGCCAGAGAGTTCCAGAAAAACATCTACTTCTGCTTCATTGACTACGCAAAAGCCTGTGACTGTGTGGACCACAACAAACTATGGCAAGTTCTTAAAGAAATGGGAGTGCCTGACCACCTTATTTATTTCAGAGAAATCTATATGTGGGACAGGAAGCATCAGTTAGAAGTGGATATGGTACGAAAGATTGGTTCAAAATTGGGAAAAGAGTATGACAAGGCTGTACATTGTCTCCCTGCTTATTTAAGTTATATGCAGAATACATCATGTGAAAGGCAGGACTGGATGAATCCCAAGCGAGAATTAAGATTGCTGGAATATCAACAAACAATAGCTTTAACTATGCAGACTTTTGTCGGCAAGGTGATGTGTCTGCTTTTTAAGATGCTGTCTAGTTTTGTCATCGCTTTCCTCCCAAGAAGCAGGTGTCTTTTAATTTCATGGCTGCTGTCACCATCTGCAGTGATCAGGGAGGCCAGAAAGTAAAATCTGTCACTGCCTCCATATCTTCCCCTTCTATTTGCCAGGAGGTGATAGGACCAGTGGCCATGATCTTAGTTTTTTTTATGTTGAACTTCAGACCATTTTTTGCACTCTCTGCTTTCACCCTCATTAAGAGGTTCTGTAATTCCCCCTCACTTTCTGCCATGAGTGGTATCATCTGCATATCTGAGGTTTTTCTAGTAGTGATATATGGAAGTGAGAGCTGGACCATAAAGTATGCTGACCGCCAAAGAATTGATGCTTTTGAAATGTGGTGCTGGAGGAGATTCTTGAGAGTCCCCTGGACTGCAAGGAGAACAAACCTATCCATTCTAAAGGAAAATTAACCCTGTATGAGATTTTTGGGGAAGGGTTTAAAATGTAGAATGGATGTGAGAGCTAGACCATAAAGAGGCTGATCGCCAAAGAATTGATGCTTTTGAATTGTGGTGCTGGAGGAGAACAAACTTATCAAGGAAATCAACTGAGTGCTCACTGGAAGGACAGATCCTGAAGCTGAGGCTCCAATACTTTTCATCTTCTCTTCTCCTCTCATGAGAAGAGAAGACTCCCTGGAAAATACCCTGATGTTGGGAAAGTGTCAAGGCAAGAGGAGAAGGGGACGACAGAGGATGAAATGGTTGGACAGTGTCATCGAAGCTACCAACATGAATGTGACCAAACTCCGGGAGGCAGTGGAAGACAGGAGGGCCTGGCGTGCTCTGGTCCATGGGGTCACACAAAGAGTTGGACATGACTTAATGACTAAACAACAAAAACAATTGTTTCCTTTTTAATACTGTAAGTCACCTTGAGTTCTTTTTAAAAGAAAGGTGAGACACAAATATTTGAAATAAGTAAATATTTCTCTGAAAATGCCAACAAACTGATTATACAGTTTCTAAGATGATTATAGTCAGCCAGGTGATGATTATCACCAGAGCCAGCCAGGAAAACACTACTATATTATTTTTAAAACATGGCATAATTTGCAATTGAGTGGATTATAATCATACAGCTAGTCATTAAGGGAAAGCTTGCCTGAAGAAAAAGGTTTTCACCTGTTTGCGGAAGGCCCACATAAATGGGGCCAGCCTGGTTTCTTGGGGGAGGGAGTTCCAAAGTCTGGGAGCAGCAAAAGAGAAGTCTTTCTCCTATGTCCACACCAAATGCATCTTTGAGGACAGTTTGAATAAGAGAAAGGCTTCTCCTGTTGATCAATAGCCAGGCAGGCTCATAAAGGGAGACACAGACATGGCTTGTGTCCAAGCCGTTTACAGCTTTATAGTTCAGAACCATTCTTTCGAGATTTCCCAAAATGGACAATAATTACTGCAACATGCAAAAAAATCCCATTCATCAGTACTGCCAAGACCTGATAAAATATTGGGCTTGCTTTATATGCAGCAGCAAACAAAGCTTTTGAAAAACACTTAAGTAAAAATGTGTTTGATCAGTCAGAAGAAAATAACAGGTAGTGTTGAGAGAAGTACTCAGAGGAAAAAAGAAATTATGAGTAACACCCACCTTCTTCAATCAGTTAGGCTAATACTTCTGTCCAGGACAAAATGCAACATGATTGCATTCACAACATGAATGGTTCCACCCATGTTATAATAAAACATATTTATATCACATAATAGAGGTGAGTCTCCATTTATTATTGTCCATGCACATACAGAAATGTCCTTGGCTCCACCCTCTAGCACATTTCCTGCTCCTCCAACAGGTGGATTTGTGGGAGATTACTCCTTATTTTGTGTGTATCTCTGTTTTACACACACACACACACACACACAGAGAGAGAGAGAGAGAGAGAGAGAGAGAGAGACAGAGAGAGAACTACCCCTTCTCTAAAGATGTTTGGATAAGAGGAGCACTATTTCTTGCTCTTTTAGATTCTAAAGATTCCCACACAATTTACGTACAGTCGTATCACAAGACGAGTTTAAAAACAGTAAGAAAAAATGAGACAAGAACACTTTCTACTTGTGGGATTTTTATGATGGATGCACTCAAGAATTACACAATACAAAGCAGCAGAATATACTGAAAGGAAACACCTGTCAGGAAGTTCAAAATGTCAATAAAATGCAGTTTGTGGAGAAACAATCAAAAAGGAAAGTGTGAGGCAAAATGATGTAGAAGTTCAAACTGAAATGATTAAAATCACACTAACAGAACCCAAACAAATAAAACAAAGATCACCATTTCTGTGCTGCGGTCTGTATGTCCAGCTTTCCTCTTCTTCCACCTGCTGCCCACATAAAGATGGGAGTTCACCATCACTACGGAATAACCTTTTTGTCTGTTTCGACAGGGTAGAGAAGTTTATCCAGCTCACTGCATGTGAAAGGGATCCTGAATTAGGTTTAAACCGGAATGACTTTGATACAGCCTCCTTTTTCATCTTCTCCGGAAAAAAGCAACAACCACAGCATGCAGTTTTTTAAAAATAGTCCTTTCCTGTCTCCTTTTTTTTTTTACTATCACTGCTTCTTGAGATTTAATTAAAATACTTTGTTCAAACTAGATGGAGCACAGGACTGAGTGGCTGTGCCCATACAATCTTCCAGAGGCTCCTTATGCCTTCAGCGTTTCGCAAGCTCCAAGCAAAACACAGTAGAAACAAGAAAAATAGAACGGCACACTGAAAACAACCTTCAGAACCGCAGACTAGAACTGTGCAGAAGTACAATACAGTACCAGCGTTAATCCAGCCCTCGGCTTTTTCCAATGTTCATCCAAGGTCCATCTCCTCTCCAACGTACATTTTTTCCAACAATATGCTTGTAATCCAGTCTGCAATCCCGTATTGAAAACAACAGCTCCTCGAGTCAGGAAGACATACATGCTGCTAACAAGTCATCCAGACCAGGATATAAACTAAAACACCTCTCTTTTTTTTCTGTGTGGAAAAGGCAATGCCACTCTGATTCCCTGACAGTATCCATCCTGTCCATCCCTTTAATTAAAAGCGTAGAGAAGGCTCTCCAGACAGATTCTCCTTAACAATAAAAGAGACTGCCTTGCTATAGCTATCAGTTAGGATTAGAGTGAAATACGATAGGTTCCTTCTCCTGAAGGCATGGCTACAGAGGCGGCAAACTCCTCCTTTCCAGGGCAGGCAGCTAACAGCAGAGCAAACTTCTGAACAGAGAACACAAAAGTAAGATAACTCAAGGACACCTCAATCAGTTCACACAAGAACCAATAAACATCTCATTCTTTAATTAGCACATACATCATTTAATAAGAACATAATTTCATGGATATGTACTGCATACCTATGTAAGTGGTTCACAAAACTTATCAGCACTAGTTTTACTGGTGGTGGGAACAAGAACCATAAATAAACAGAATGTTTTCAAGAGAGGTGTTCTGTTATGTTTGTTTATTTATTTTTACTTAGCTTTTATCACCCACATTAACACTATATAATTTCAGTTTCCATCATGGAAGGATGGTCACATATTCTTCAGTTTAATTAAAGTTCTACTAACAAAGCAAACGAATTACTGAAAAGCCCATATCAATGCTCAGCATTCCACTTTCCTGAAACTGTTTGAGGAAGCCAGCCGGAAGAGGGTGGAAACAAAACACAGCAAACATCCCATGGTACAAAGCAAGAACAGTCTGTCTGCTTTTAAGAATCTGATCCCAAGGAAGTAATATTTATATGTTCAGAACTTTCACTGGAAGAACTGTGTTCAAAAAGGCAATTCCTGGAGACACACCAAAAATCACAGTGAGTTATATACTTCTATACATTCAGTATGTATTCATCAGAACTCTTAGGTTTAGTCCCTCAGTTTGTACATTCTACAAGCAATCTAACTATGCAAGATTCTTTCCAGAACTGCAGGCTTTGCCTTTTTAGATTCAAAACAAACTACTGCCTGGTGGGGGTGGGGTGGGCACTTGGGTCAGAAAACAGCAGAAACAAATTACATTTTTGCCAGTTAAAATCCTACTGTAGCTCTTGTCCCAGGAGAGGCACAACAGCACTAGCAGAAATATGCAGAGTGCTTCCCACAAGGAGTGAAACACTATTCAGAAACTATTTAAATAACTCTTTCATCATTGAAAAGATACTGTTGGTTTTGTGATTCATAATGAATGGGTAAGACTCAACTGTCTGCTTGGGAAATTAACAACTAAGTACTGTATCAGATTACCTATGAATCAGCTAGGCACACAAAAATGACCTTTGGCTCCCCCAACAATAAACTGGCCAACTGTATTCCGTAAATAATTTAAGAGGCTACATTTATATTGAATCCCCTTAAAGAAAAACACCCACAGCCCACATCACTCATTCCCTCTCCCAAGCTTACTCTTTCTCCCCCTTTCCCAATCCCTAGAAATAAAATATGTGGCAAATATGTATTTAACTGCAGCTATACTTCAGACAACGAGCAAAGTAATTGATGTGACTATATTGACTATTATTGTAATATTAAATGCGAATTATAGAACAGTAATCTCTTCCAACATTAATTTGACCCAATTCCGGGAGGCAGTGGAAGACAGCGTGCTCTGGTCCATGGGGTCACAAAGAGTTGGACACAACAACAACAGCAGCAACAACACATCTCTTCCAGACTGCAAGATGAGTGAAGAGGATCTAAACTTTACATTTTAGACAAGTGTCCCCAGATGTTCTTGGACTACAACTCCAAGAAATCCTGGCCAGCATAGGATTCTGGTGGTGAAGTATTCTGGGACTTTTAATTGAAGAACATCTAAGGACCCAAGGTTGGGAACCATTGTTCTAAAGCAAGTTATTTTTAAAAAAATCTTATACTTTGCAATTAAGTTTACAGGCAAAACTCTTATTCTTCCAGAAACCAGGAATTCTGCGAACTATATCCAAATATGCTACCAACTGTGGGTTCATATCACAGCTGGATGATGTACCAAACTGAACACTGACCATATGATAACCAACCAAGAATTCTCCCATTTCTATAATATAAAATGTTGCAATGTGACATTTATTTCAAAGCATGGTGTCAGCCTGCCATAATATTTTAATCAGAAGGAGGAGGAAGATAGCCCAATTTATTGTGACAAGGTCAGTGCAGTTATAAGGTCCCTGTTAATACAAATGAAGCCACAACTGCAGTTAAAGAGTCTGCAAACTTGACATCCCTGACATGTTAATCTCATGTGAGATAAATCTCACAAAGATATTTCCTTGGGATAAAACACAGAGGAGGAAAAGGAGGGCAGTGACCAGTTGGCAGATCAAGGGGGAATGGAAAGATACCAAATACAGCACGTCATTTGTCAAACATAATTACTTACAAATAAAATTATTAAAGATACTGGATTTTCTTTACCCTGGACTCTGCTCTCCAAATTCAAATTAGAGTCTTAACTAGAACAGAGTCATTAAATCACATAATTTACATGTGTTGATTCACCATTCAGCAATTAATTTAATGGGCCTACTTTAACTGGGACTACCAACTGAATTTAGATATTTATATTCAATGAGGAGTCCCAAGAGGAAGGTGTGACTGAAATTACAGAACAGAATCCGATACGATCCATGATCAGTCTACAAAGCACCAAAGTCCCATTTGTTTTGATGAGAAAGCTAACCATTTGTTTAACCTGCTGAAATTAGTGAAAGACAGTTCTACATTATATTGTAGAAACCTTCCTCCTTGCCCCCTCTTTTCAATTTTTATTTTGCATAAACTTGAAGGGAAACTTTTAAGAAGTTTTTGTTTCCTTTCTCTGCCCCTCCACAAAGGACAAGAAGAAGTTTTCAATTTCCCAATACCATAAAGTGGCTAAACTATCATCTTAAGCCACATAGCAACATGGGGAAACTGAGAACAGAAGTCAAATTTAAAGCTGCGAGCTCCACTTTGGTTCATTTCCAGCAAAGCAAAGCAAATGCAATGTGTGCTGGTTACATACCACCCCGTAGTGCTTAAAACACTCTCTGGGCAGTTTACAGTTAGTTCAGTTATTAAGTTCAGTTATTGCCTCCACGCCAACAAGCTGAATACTCAATTTACCAACCGTGGAAGGATGGAAGCTTGAGTAAACATCGAACTGGCCAACTGGGATGGAACCCAGGTCATGCGTGGTTTTGGCAGCCAAAAAAGAGCCAAAAAACAAAAACAGAAACAAAAAATCCCAAACTAGTAGGCCTTAACAGGGACCCATAAGGGTGCAGATAGGAATGCTCTGGGGACTGGCTGGATCATTCTAACAATAACATTGTATGACTGCCAACAAATGGAGCAAGCCAGTCCAACCCCACAACAGACCAAAGAGTGGAGCAGATGCCCATCCAATCTCATCCTAAGAGGACCTTTCTTTCTCAGTTCTGCCTTCACAGCAGCCACCTCTTCTTTTCTTCTTGCAAACTTCCAAGCAGGCAAAAGACTAACTTTGCCAAAAGAGTACACTGCATAACAAGATATGGCTAGGCAAAGAAGCAGTCCTAGGTAATATTGAGAGAAAGAGAGGGAGGGAGAAGTTATTTTAACACAAATAGTTTAACTATTTTACTCAGGTAGATACAGATTATGTGTATTATACTACCATAAATAAGTAAACAAACAAACAAACAGGAAGTTTCATTCTACTAAATGGTCCATGACAGATTCCATCAAGCATCAATAAATAGTGTCTACCACATTCTCTACAACAAATCTTTTCTGAAGCTGCAGTTAGATGGGAACTCTTCCACAGGACACACAGGAATTCGCACCTCCTCCCAGGCTCCTTGTTTGGAAGGAAAAGAGCAATCCTTACTCTCTAAACTTGAAGGGAAAGTGCACTCTCCACTTCCTTTTCTGGCAGAAGAGAGCAACGGGATTGGGCAAGGCATCACCTGCAGGTGTTTGCCAGTGGTAGATCTCAAAGCAGCAGCTGAAACCTCTACATTCCCCATCTATCTTTTCCAGTGAAAAGCAAAGCAGAAAAGGAGATTCTGAGCACGTTTGCCAGAGGCAACATGTTTCCTTTGCCCTTTTCCTGCAAAAAAAGTTTGAGGAAAGGGATCAAATTGAAGCATTTTGCTTCTCAACAGCCAGCTACCAAGGCCTGCCAAAACTGGAGATCCTTATATTTTATTTAGCCGGCTGCATAGCTCAATGAATTAGGAATTGCAGTTCAATTCCCAGGTGTGCCTCCTGCAAGAATTGTCAAAGTCACAGTACACTGCCAGAAGAAGGAAATGGCAAACCTGTCTAAGTACTCTGTGCCTAGAAAGAGTTGCTGTAAGTCAGAATCAACTTGATGGTATGTAATGACTGTTATTATATTTTACTTGGTACTTGTCAGTGGCAGATTCCAAAAATGTATCTCATAAAAAAATCTAATAATTTAATTAAACATAGTACAGTACTAAACACCTTTAGAGCCATGACATATTCTCCATTAAAACCAGCCTAATATTAAGTATTTAATGTTAATATAAGACTCACTAAAGTTCTGTTGGAACCAACTTTTTTGTAATAACTGTCTCATGAATTTAGTCCCTGCAGTCTATTAATACTCATTAATAGGCTGTTAATGAAGAAAAAGTCATCATGGTTGTTCTGGGTTTTTCGGGCTCTTTGGCTGTGTTCTGAAGCACTCCCAAGCCAGCTACACCAGAGCACAGGTTGTTGTCCTCTGAAGATGCCGGCCACAGAGACTGGCGAAACTTTAGGAAGAACAACCTTCAGAACACGGCCAAAGAGCCCGAAAAACCCAGAACAACCATTAGATCCTGGCCGTGAAAGCCTTCGCGTATATATATGGAAAGCCATCAATCTATACAGTTGCCATAAATCAGGAATAATCCAGTGGCACATCATCCTTTGAATTTTGCTGATGTCTTCTCAGCTAGTGTTTCTTTCTCTCTTTAAAAGTAAATATATATTATTAAGAATAATAAGAGATTCACTGTTAGCCAGTCAGTGTAGTATTAATGGTCAGAATATTTGCTTGGGACCTGGGAGATTCAGATTCTAGTACCCACTTA